CTGAAGGGAAGGCAAGAAACAATGGATGGAAAGTAACCAAGGAGAGAAGCAAGCTAGAACTAAGGAAAAATTTCCAGCTTGCCTTCAGAGGTTGTGGGTGCTCCATCACTGGAGATTTTCAAAAAGAGACTAGATAACCATTTATGTAAAGCGATATACAGTCTCCTGTTTGAGCAGGGAGTTGGGACTAGAAGATTTCCCCCTATGTTCTACATCCGGGATGTCAAACTCAAGGCCTGCAGGCCAGACGCTTAGATCAGGCTTGCAGGGCTATCCTGCACACAGTGAAGGGCCGGCCCATAGTGTCTCTGCCAGCAAAAATGGAGCTTGCAAGGGTTGCGTGTGGCCCTCCTGAGCTCTGTTTTCGCTGGGAGAGGATTGTAGGAAGCCATTCAGTGGTGGGATTCAGCCAGTTTGCACCACTTTGGGAGAAACGGTTGTTAACTTTCTGAGCAGTTTGGTGAACTGGTTGTTGGAAGAAATCATCAGGGCGGATAACTGGTTGTTAAATTATTTGAATCCCACCACTGGAGCCATTGTAGCAGTGGTCGGTTCCGGATTCCGTTCCAACCAGTACAGTTGGAACGGGCCCGGCGTTGTCCATCTGGATGTGTGCAGCACACGCGCATGCGTCTTACTGTCCAACAAGGCCTCTGCGAGCCTCTGTGACACTCCAGCTGCTCGGTGGAGTATTGCGCGGGTGCTGTACGTGCCATGCATGTGCACGTAAGCAGTGAAGACTTTAAAGGCAGGTAAGGAGCGCGGGTGGGTGGGCCCTCCGGAGCACCATACTGGAGCGGTACCCAGTACCGGGGGCATACCACCTGCAACCCACCACTGCATTTTAGCTAAAAATGGAGCTTGTTTTTACTGGTAGAGCGCTGAGCTCGTCACAAGCACCCCCGCACGGGTGATGTCAAGCTGGCCATGTCCACACTGGCCACACTCACCCCAGCCCCCAAGGTAAAACACAACCCTGATGCAGCCCTCAATGAACTTGAGTTTGACACCCCTGTTCGACATGTGTGTGTTTAGGTAACAGACAGGTCATGCGATGGGAAAAAGTTCATTCTGTGAAAAATTCTTCTAGATTTCTGGCCTGATTACTTCCTGGCTACTGCATTGTTCTTTTTAGAAGGGATTAAGTTTTAATTGGCTGATAGGATAGTGTGTGTAGGTTGTGTGCGATAGAGGACTGGGCTGCTGGCATTCTGTCTGGCTGTTTGGGCATCCAGAATTGCAGCATCCATCTGAAAAAGGAATGGTAATCCTGGGACAAATGCAAATTTGGCAATATTACGAAGAAAAGGACAAAATCCAGTAGGGAAGTAAGCTGACTTAATGGCCCCTAAATGTTGGTTGTGAGGTGAAGAGAAGAATTTTTAAATGGTAATATTCTAAAAGAAGATTTGGCTCTCTAGATGTGAGGAGAATATTAAGCCTAGTTGTCTGGCTTCAAATCTTCTATATATATAAAATATCACTCACTCGTAACTACTCATTAATTTTCAAGCTGTAAGTGTTGATTTAGTAAGCCTGATCACATAGTTTCGTAGCGGAGCAGACAGGGTATCCAGCAAGTAAGTGAATAAGTGACAGCAAATACTCCATTATTTCATTTTTCTAACGAATACTAGACTCTCTCCAGAAATATTCTTCTTCATCAATGTCAACTTATGGTATATTTTTTACCTTGCCAGGATCATTAAAAACAGTTATGACAAGGTAAAAATGGGTGGAGCTTCAATCACAGAGGCGGGGCTGCCCTCTTTTTCCACCTTTCCCTTGCAGACATTCCTGAATCCTTCTAATTAGCAAGTGATTTTTCCCTCCATATTTATTTCCATGTTTTTCCTCCTGCCTAAAAGGCTATAATTATATCTCACGTACAAAAAAACCCAGTCTTTCTTTTGGCTTGGTGTTTGGAACTCTTCCCCCAGCTATATTTTATCACATTGCCCAGGAATTTCAGCTTCCTATTTAATACAGGTAAGTCCTCGATTTATAACCACAATTGGGGCTAGAATTTCCATTGTTAAGCAAGGCAGCTGTTAACTGGCTCATGTTCAGTTTTATTACCTTTTTGGCCATGGTTGTTAAATAAATCAGTGGAGTCGTTATGTGCGCCATGCAGTCATTAAATGAATCCAAGTCCCCCTCTTGACATAGCTGGTCAGAAGCTGGCTGACAATGGCAATTGTGTGATCCCAAGATGCTACAATCGTCCTAAACACCCACCAGTTGCCAAGCGCTCCAATTTTGATCACATGACCGTGGGGATGCGGCGGTGGTCATAAGTGTGAGGGCTGGTCATAAGTCATTGTTTTCAGAAACATTTGTAACTTCACATGTAAACGAATGGTTGTAAGTTGAGGACTACCCCAATGTACCCAGTTCGTTCCCAGTCCAAGAACCCAAGTTACCTGTCGCGGTATAAATGGTGGTTATGATCAGAAGTGCTATGACAGCCAGATAAATATTCCAGCCCAGGGCTTGCTGGATAAAGACGGCACCAGAAAACATGTCCACCTGCAGGTGAGAGAAGCAGAAACGCCACCAGGGAGAAGTGCAGATTCATCAGAGTTTAAAAACCATGAGAATGTTTATACCAGCCTTCCTGAAAAGGCAAAAGTAAAGAGATTCGTATTTCCAAATATTCTCCACGACATGTCACTGGAAAAAATGACCTACTGATATTTTGGTGAAGATGTACATGAAGAGAGATAGGATGGAGAGGTAGAGACGGATCCGTTGGCCTCCAAAACGTTTCTTCAGGTACTGGGGCATTGTGATAACCTACAGGTGGGGGGGGGGGGGAGGAAGCAGATAACAGGTTACACTTTTTTATTACTAGCTGATAAGCTGGTGTTGCCCAGGTATTTATTTATAGGGGGAAAATGTCTGGACCAAAAGTAATTTTTAATGTTGGATTTTTCATCTTACCGGAGGGAACTCCCTTGTGTAGTACTGTGAAGCCATTACCATGGCAACTCCACTAGGCAGTACAGTAGAAGCCATTTTACTGTGTGGTAAAGGCTGTATTTTAACAGAACACACACCCTGAATAGTGTTAGGGGTGTCTTACCCCCCCTCCCCCAGTATTTGTTTCCAGAGAGTAAATCATATGTGTACAAAGTTTGGTTGAAATTGCTTGAGGCATTCCAGAGTTATGCTGCTCTGCCATAACCTCCCCCCTCCCACTTCCCCTGCTGCCTTCGGATCCGAGGCTTTGATTGCAGGTGGAGCCACGTTGCCTTTTCAAACTTGTAATCAGTGAAGCTGGGCTTATATACTTTTATCCAGGTGTGTGTGTGTATGTTTGTTTGTGTGTGTGTGTTTGAAAAGGCAACGTGGCTCTGCATGCAATCAAACTTTTTGAATTCCTCCCCCCTCCCCACACATGCACCTTTTCCAGCTGTTTCAGAGAGGATTTCAACTCTGCTCTTGCCTGCCATCATGAAAAGAAAAAAAATGTAAAAGGAAAAAGGCATGAGCTCTGAGGTCAGACTGAGCTAGATGATCCTAGAGCCTCTAAAAAAAACACCCTCTACAGGAGGCAGGAGGACGACGTGCCTCATCTACATAAGGAATTTTTCGGCTTTTAATCCTTGCTTGGCTCTGCTTGAGTGATCATAAAGTCAGACTAAATGAGGCACCTCGTTCTCCTGCCGCCCCTATAGAGGGCACTTTTTAGAGGCTTTTTTATACAGTTAAACACTAAGCAGAGTCATCCACTGTGACTCTGGCAGCAACTACCTCAGCCTTTTTCCTTTTACATTTTTTTTCTTTTCATGATGACAATGGTGAGGCCCTGCCTCCCCTGACTGCACATCCCTGCTCTCAACTTAATCTACCTTGCAAAGCTGATGTGAAGAAAAGTAGGGAGGGTGGAGAGAATGATGGACCTGCCCTGAATTCTTTGGGAAGATTAAAAATGCCACAGACAAGGAAACAAATCAATGTGTGATAGAGAGCAGAAATCACTACCTCAGCAGAGAGGTAAACTGGAACAAAGAACCATCCCAGGAGAAGAACAAAAAATATAGCCTAAAAAGAAAGAAAACAAAAACTAATGAGAAACCAGGATAGATCAAGTTTCCATCTTTTTCTCCCCCCCCCCCCCCAAATCCCCATCAAAGCTTCTGGATGATTAATTTGCAGCTGCTTGTGACAGGCAGAAAGGAAACAAGTGAAGCTTCCTCCAGCATTGCATTGTCAATTCTTACTGATTATCTGTAGAAATCGACAAAATTTCTCCCGCAGCACCAGAGTTGTGGGCGGGGTGGGAATCAAAAAAGGCAAGGTGGCATTCATATCAGAGGTGGTATTAAGTAGGTTCTGACCAGTTCTAGAGAACTGGTAGTGGAAATTTTGAGTAGTTCAGAGAACCAGTAAATACCACCTCTGACTGGCCCCGCCCCATCTATTCTTTGCCTCCTGAGTCCAAGCTAATCAGGAGGGAATGGGGATTTTGCAGTTACCTTCCCCTGCCATGCTCACCAAACCATGGCCACCAAACCATGCCACGCCCACCAAGCCACGCCCACAGAACCAGTAGTAAAAAAAATTGAATCCCACCACTGATTCATATTGTACTAAAACTACTGCTGCCTCTTAATGTGCACCATTGCACAATCGTGGGAGGCCATCTTGCTTTTTTTGACCCGCCCTACCCTGTGGATACTCCTTTTCTCTCTGCTGGTGGGGAGGGGGAAATCAGGGACTCATCAAGGTATTCTGGTGATTTCTGCTCAGCAAATGAAGTGGGTCTTGCTCCACCCCCCACCCCCCTCTTGTGGGGATTCCTCTTTGGCAAGGATGAGCAACTTATGTCCCTTTTATGACCTGTGGACTTCAATTCCCATCCTGGTTTAGGAATTCTGGGAGTTGAAGTCCACAAGTCGTACAGAGGGGCCATAGTTGCCTACCCCTGCACTGGGGAAACCCCCAATCTTGTTTCTCTGCTACTTACATTCCATTCAAATCCTGCCACGGCCAGGCCATTCGCTGCTCCGGTGCCTGCCAATCCCACAAAATGCCCACTGCCAATGTTGCTGGCAAAGAGAGAAGCGCCAATCTGTGAACACAACCACCAAGTTTTCTTTTTTTTTAAAAAGCATATCGACTTTCTAAATCTACTGGGCCCTGTCGCCTTGGGTCTCATTTCCCAGTTCATCCAGTAACTTAGTTCACTTTTCTTTCTCTCCTACCCTTATCACATCTTCATAGAAATCCTATGATCGGGGGACTTTAGAGGTCATCTAGTCCAGTGGCCCTCAACCTTTCGGCTGCCAGGGACCGGTTCTGTGGAGAGAAGTTTTTCCATGGACCGGAATGGGTGTAGTTTCGTGTGCTGCCGGCATCCCTCAGATAGGGCTTCGTTTGTTTGTGTGGCCTGGTTTCCTGCCCGCCGGTTGGAGACCCCTGATCTAGTCTAATCCCCATGCCTATCACCGACAGATTTTTTCGTATCCCTCTCTTTCCCAAATAACCCACTTGATTTTCCTTTTTCCTTCTATACTTTGCTGCATTCCCTACTCTAAAATCTTCTTGAGTGCCCTCTATCCCATCCCCCAATTATTGGGGTCCCTTGACCTCTCTCCCCCCTCTCTTTTGGTCACTCACCGGCCACCACATCATCTTCCTTCCAGCCAAGAAATATCCCCCCACTGTCCCTCGATTGATCCGGCGCATGGACTGCGAACCACAAGAGAAAGAGGAAAGATATGAGGATTTATGGTCTGAGTCACATAACACATCCTACCCCTGGGTGTCTTAATTATGGTTTGTGGAATAAACCACAAGTATCTTGGTTTCCTACATCATGGTTTCCTTCTGCACCAGAGATGATATTCAGTCAGTTCTGACTGATTCTGGTGAAATGTTGAACTGGCAAATATACCACCTCTGGCTGGCCAGTGGTGAGATACGACCAGTACACCCCGGTACAGACGTACCAGTGCCTGCTGGGAGCACCAGATACCATTCCGGTACAGTGCTCTAGGGACCACACCTACTCGCCCGCCCTCCTTACCTGTATTTGAGCTGATAGGGGTTCCGCGCATGCACATGGAGCATATGGCGCCTGCCGACGCTCCACCAAGCAGCTTAAGCATCGCGGGTGGTAAGTATGCATGCGCTTACTGCACGCTTGCTGCACACTGCATGTGGTGGACGCCTGGCCCCATTGCACTGTACTGGTTGCAACAGGATCCGGAACCTACCACTGTGGCTGGCCCTGCCCCCATCTATTTGCTGCCTCTTCAGTCCCAGTTGATTGGCTGGGGTTCTTCTTTTGCCCTGCACAGGAGAACAGAGCTGGAAAGCAGGTTAGTGGGGTGGGGAGGAAATGGGGATTTTACAGTATCCTTTCCCTGTGATGCCCATCAAGCCACACCACGCTACGCCCACAGAACCGGTGTTAAAAAAATTTCCATCCCACCACTGCTCTGCACCCCTGCTTTTCTTTTTGTGGCCTTTAGAACCACTTCTAATCAGGACTGAGTCATTTGAGCTCTAGAATAGGGGTATCACAGCAATGAAAGCAAAATCAAGTTCCTAAATTGTCCTCTACCGAAATCCAGAGCTGCCCACTGCAATCAGCATCCTTCCATGTTGAAGCTGCTTGCAGATCCCTTCCTCCTTCTTTCCTTCCCACTTTAAGTCATGTGGACTTCAACTCCCAGAATTCTCCAGCCAGTGATGCTAGTTGAGGAATTCTGGGAGTTGAAGTCCACACCTCTTCAAAGGGCCAAAGCTCCAAAAAAACAAACACCCCCCCTCCCCCTCCACTGCTCTAAATAAAAGAAGGATATGTTCAGGGCATGGTCGAAAAAGCCAAGATGACAGGAATGGCATTGTGATCAAAGCTTCTTCTGTTTTTTTTTACATGCAATAAAGGATGAGTTTTAATTGAACTGTTGTGCTGCTATCTTGGTTTATTTTAACCCATGCCCTGTAGACACCCCTGAAATAAAGACAGATAAAAGAGGCTAATGTGATTTAGCTTGGCAAATCATTTATAATGATTAAATGATTAAATAATCATTTAATCCCATTTAATCGGTATCAAAGGAGGTAATTTCTTGACTAAACTAGAAGACAGTGCCTGGGAGCAAATTGTAACTCTTTAAAGAACAGAGAGTTAAGTCACTCATCTTTTCAATTTTACTCATTACCAGCTTCCAGTACATTCCTGAACCATGTAACTGAGGATAATAATTAACTCCCTGGAGCAATAAGGTCAGAAATTAAAAAAAAAAAAAAAGACTAACAGCCTGGATAAAAAAGCCTAATAAACATGCACACGAGTCACCCTGCCAGCTTGCATTTTGGCATAGGACTTTGTGAAAAAGGGCTGCAAAAGGGCTGCAGGTGGCGTTGTCTTATTTGTACCTAACAATGTCACTGTTTAAGTGCTTTGCCTACCTTTTCACAACTGAAGCAATATGAATGTATGTATATGTATATGTATATATATGTATATGTGTATATGTATGTATGTGTATGTATGTATGTATGTGTATGTATATATTAGCACAAATATAACACTATCAGCACAAATATAACAAATGTAACAAAAAGGCAACAGTAAAAAATATTGGGTTTCTGTATGTATATGTGTGTATATATATATATATATGTATGTATGTATGTATGTATGTATGTATGTATGCATGTATACACACATACATACATACATACATACATACATACACACACACACTAAATATATATTTAGTGTCACAACCCCTGGTATGCTCCAATTATGGGAGGAAGCTAATTGCTTCCATTATCTGTCAATCGGCTCGTCACAAGAGACCATCACGACAGAAACCCAATATTATTACTGTTGTCTTTGTTACATTTGTGTTATATTTGTGCTGATAAATAAATAAAGGGAGACTAGTATAGATCTATTTCAAGCTATTTAGCTCTCATCAGCTAGCCGTACCCTTACTGGGATTCAAACCTGTGCTGTATTACATCTTAGGCAGATGTCTTAGCCATTAAGCCACAGGTCCTCCTCCTTATCAACTGAGCCAGGGAGAAAGGTATATATTTAAAGTCACAACCCCTGGTATGCCCAAATATGGGAGGAAGTTCACTGCTTCCATTCTCTGTCCATCGGCTCGTCATAAGAGACCATCCAGACAGAAACCCAATATTTTTATTGTTGCCTTTGTTACATAGGCTAGCTGATGAGAGCTAAATAGCTTGAAATAGATCTATACTAGTCTCCTTTTATTTATTTATCAGCATAAATACAACACAAAATGTAACAAAGGCAACAGTAAAAATATTGGGTTTCTGTCTGGATGGTCTCTTATAAATATATAAATATATATTTATATATATAAATGGCTGTATGTGTCTCTCTGTGTCTCTCTGTGTGTGTATCTAGCATAACTCTGGAATGCCTTGAACCAAACTTGATAGACAGATTACTTACTCTCTGGAGAAAAATACTGTGGGGGTAAGACACCTCTAACATCCCTCGGGGTGTGTGTTCTGTTAAGATACAGCCTGTTATACCTTAAAATGGCTTCTACTGTAATGCCGTAAAATGGCTTTTACTGTACAATGCAGTGCAGTTGCCATGGTAACAACTTCACAGTACTCCACAAAGTGGGGCTCCCTCTGGTAAGGGGGAAAAGCCAACATTACAAATTACGTTTGGTCCGGACATTTCCCCCCTATACATAAATACCTGAGCAATGCTGGGTTATCAGCTATTATTATAAAAATCTAAGGAGTTTGGGTTAGACACCTTGAACAGATTATATGCACTTTTATTTGCACCTGATGGTTATTTTGATAACTCAATCAGTAGTTTTGCTAATTAAAAATGCCTTTGTTAGACAATATTTGATTTCTAAATTTTGGCACACTTTTTTGAGTTGTCTGTTAAAAGATGATTCCCTGGGTAGATTATAAATTGGAACAATATTGTTCCAATAAATAAAAAAAAGAAAGAAAATGGCAGTGCTGTATTAGGGAAAAAAATACATAGAAGCAGACTGAAATAATTAGCACCTTATAATCAAAGGAGCTAGCCAACAAAGAAGTTGGTGTGGATGAAAATGTATCTGCATCTGATGGAGTTGCAGCTCACAAAAAAATATGCTTTTTAAATAAATATTGTCAGTGCAGAAAAGTGCTATGAAGCTTCTGATCCTGGTGAGAAGAAGAAGCCACAATAAAGCTCTTCTGTCTAAATAAGCAACAAGAGTTTTATTTTATTTGATGGCTCCTCGTTTTATCCCTTAAATAAAGGATCCCCGGGGATAAAGACTTTTGTGACCTTAACAACTGCAACAACTACAACTAACAACTTTCTTGGCCTGTGTATTCTTGTGAAAAAATAAAGATATTGAGATAAAATTGAGAATCTCCAAATATCTTTCATGCTTCTCTAAAAGCAGTAAATCTTGATTTAGATTTCCTTTCTTAGCAAATTTGCAGCCAGTTTTCAATCTGGAGGGAATCCACTCCAGAGGGAAATCGTACTGACTGTTTCCAGTATTGTAAGCCTAAAACAAATCATTTTAGAGAAATTAAGAGATACTTTAAGCCACTACTGAAATTTTGGCTTGGCAAGGAAATCGACATTGAATCCCAGCAGTACAGGTAGTTACAACCACAATTGTGGCTAAAATTTGCACTGTTAAGCAAGGCATTCATTAAGTGAGTTTTTGTCCCACTTTATGACTATTTTTGCCATGATTGTTAAAAGTGAATCACTCCAATTGTTAAGTAAATCATGCGGTGGTTAAGCGAATCTGACTTTGCTTGTCAAAAGCTGGTTGGGAAGGTTACAAATACTGACCACAAGACTCCAGAATCGTGCAATGGTCATAAATACATGCCAGTTGCCAAGCGCCTGAATTTTGATCATCTGACCAATGGAGATTTTGCAATGGTCAAAAGTGTCTCTTTTCCATTGACACTGTAGTTTTGAATAATCAATAAA